TTATGGACAGTCATACAGCAGGGCCTAACTAAAATGGCGGTTCTTGCATAACGTTATGCTTCATTAGACAGTAATAGATTCACTAGCTTTAATTTGTGATCCTCTCTTCTCATGACGGCGATGACCGGCTGTGTTACATTTCTCGAATATTCTCATATGAATTAAGTGTAAACAGAAAACATATGAAGTGTATATGTAATGTCTTTAATCTGGCTCTTGTAACCGTTGCAAGTATATACATATGGGAGATTAGCTTTCCTAGTTGTGAACAACGTTTTACATATGCTTTATTCGACTTATTATATGCAGTAGAAAGATATAAAAACACCAACATACGATACTGTTTAGATATTAAAACACGATCTCATCCTCCTGGTGGTAAGTTCGTTAATCAGGATAATTATTTCTTCCTTAATTAACAAATAACGATAACTGTTTTTAAAATAATTATCACATGGTTTCAGCAGAACGCAACAGAATCAGAATGTAATAATTCCGAACTTCGAAATCTCAAACTTATAACAACAACATCATTGAAGCCTAGTTAGATTTTTTATTAGCAATAAGGCCGTGAACTTAAATCACTAGAAGAATGTGTCATAACGTGATTTAATGCGAACGTTTTCTAGATATGACGTACGTGCAAGCTTAGAACACTGTAACCTTGTTCTTTATTTAATGAGAAACACGAAAAAGGACGTTTAAAGAAACAATGGCACATTTTACACGCGTCTCGACATAAATTAGCTTGACATCGAACTTAGACAAAAAAAAACGGACTTCACGACCTCTGTCTCAGTCTAAAGATGAACATGTTAGACGCCATTTTCCCTCAAATCGGACATCCGACAGGGAGGAGGCGTTCCATGCCCACCTCCGAATTTAAATATGATATTTTTTTCATATCACTATGGTCAAGTTATGAAGAAAATCGTGGCTATAAGGGAAACAAACAAACAAAAAACCAAAACATTTCCTTACCTTATTATCTGTCGTGCAACAGGATGGAGAAAAAACAAACAGTAACACCACTTACAGAACAGAAGACCAGGCGACACCAGTATATGATAATCAGAATCATGGCGTCCAGTGACGTCACAGATCGTTTGGACAGTGGAAATGGGAGATGCCCCAATAATGAACGCTCTTCACTTTACAAAACACTTTTATTGACCTGTACGCTTCCAGAAAGGAACAGTTTTCTTCTTCCATGTTTTTAAGGAAGAAATTTTAGTTTTAAGGCTTGAAGACAATTTCTTCCTGCTTCCGGTCGTATTATAGTTCCCTAAGAACAGAGTTTAATTCTAGGATGATAAAACGGACTTGTCTTAAGTAATTTGTTATTTTTGACGATCTTAGCGGTTTGAAGGTGACTTCTGTTGGATGGTTCGTGATGTCCGTTCTTTTACTCATGTTCTTCTGTTGGATGGTTCATGATGTCCCTTCTATTATTCATGTTCTTCTGTTGGATGGTTCATGATGTCCCTTCTATTATTCAGGTGTGGGTTTAAAACTATATATTTCTCTATAAGTCTCTGTTTAATAGATAATTTTATGAATTTCTGTGAAACTAAAACTGGTACCGTTGATACTCAACGAGAAACTATAGCAACTAGTTATAGCGAGGTATCAGTGTTTCATGTTTAAAGATGACGTTATAGCGAGGTATCAGTGTTTCATGTTTAAAGATGACGTTATAGCGAGGTATCAGTGTTTCATGTTTAAAGATGGCTAATTTAAAAACCGTGAAATATCTATCAACTTTTGATTAATCTCACATCTGTCAATCAGGGTTAGGTCCGGTCTGATATATAATTGTGGAATTAGTATTTTGTTTCTCAAATGTTCAAACAAAGAAAAAGCTTGGTTTTTTTATAGCTCAACAAGGACGATTTTCCCCACAGTATATGTATTACGTATACCTTCAACTGTTAGTTAGAATTGTGTTAGTTGAGTCATATTAATGTTGGTTATGTTGTTCACCTGAAGAAACGTACCACCAACACAAGAACTTGTTTTATTATAGAAAGAAACTAGCTTACAATACACATACATCAAACATATGAAATACAAGAAACTAACTTACAATACACATACATCAAACATATGAAATACAAGAAACTAACTTACAATACACATACATCAAACATATGAAATACAA